ATATAATCTTTCTGCTTGTGCACTTTCATTTACCATACTTATTTTGAGATTCACCAATTTTGTAGGGAGTACTAATAGTGTATTTTTTTGTATTGCTGAAGAATACTTCATTGTTCGGATGTACCATAGTCTAGCCATTCAGAAGCTGAGAATAAATAACTCATCATTTGAATTATTCCCAGTATTTGACTATTAAAATGAAAGCTACTATGAACATTTGTGTACAAATCGCTGTATGGAAACGCGCCTTCATTTCTCTGGTATGAATATGTAAGAGTGGCTGGCTCATATGGTGAGGTATGTGCTGAAGTTTTTCAGAAACTGCTAAATTGTTTTTCAAAGTGATTATACATTTCACATTCCCACCAACATTGTATGAGAATTTGTTTTTCTGTGTCCTCACCAGCACTTTGTATGGTTAGACTTTTTTTTGGAGACAGGGTCTTGGTGTATAGCCTAGTTGGCCTCAAGCTCACTGAGATTCTTCTGACTCAGCCTCCTGAGTTTTGGGGTTATAGGTGTGTGCCAACATGCCTGGTTCAGAGTGTAATTTGGGCCATTCTGATGCTGTGTGGTAGTGTCTATAGCTTTAGTCTGCATTTCCCTAAAGACTTGATGCCAAGCATCGTTTCATGTGCTTGTTTGTGACCCTGTCATCTGCCTTCAGGAAGCATACGTTCAAATCTTTTCTTCGTTTTATGTCACTACATTGTTCCTCATTGGGTTTTGGGAATTTTTTATATATTACGAAAGCAAGTCCTTTACTAGTGGGGACCTCCGCCAAGATCCCCAACTGCCTGTGTGAGGGGTACAGCAAAAGGATGAAGTAAGATACAGAAACAACTTAGTAATGTGTAAAGGGGGGCTGTGAGGTCAATGCCTCAGGATGGGTAAAGACCAAGACTCTCCAGCTTGCTATTTTTTTATTGACCAGCATGCGGGGAGGGGTAGCAAGTGATTCCAGGAACAGTAACGGAGGTTGCTTGGCTGGTAAGAAGAACAAACCATTCTTGCAGGGACAGACGGGGCAATGAGGAAACTGTGGTTTCCCCGGGTGTAATGTTTCCCTACCGCTGCTACATTGCTTTAAAGATCCTTATCACCCTCACAGGGTCTTCTCTTACCTTGTGAGCCACACAGGGTCACTAGCCTTAGGGCTTCAGCTATGATCTGGAGAAAGCAGGGAATTTCCTCCTTCTGCTCTGGCTCAAAGGGCAAGACAAGGCCAGCCGTGGACACCCCTAGACTCAGCTTATAATCTGTGGTCCTGACACTTTATTAGACACATCATAGCATCTCTGAGGCTGTGACAGACTTTTTTGTTCTCTTAAGAGTGGAGGTTCTAAAGAAAAGCCCAGGCCCTGACAGATTCACTGCTAAATTCTACAAAAAATTTAGAGAAG